TTTGATTTAAGCCTTTTGATTCTAGTTAAATATAACAGGTTTAAATTGGTATGCTAAGATCCAAAGCAATAGCAAAGCTTGATTCTGTGGACTGATTTTTGCCTATAAAGTGCCCCATTGTGCGTGTTGAATCAGATTTTATTTCTATGTGCTTATTTTTTTCATGTCATGTCTAATGTATGCTCTCGCTTACAGTGGTGGATCTTACTTTATTGCCTGACGAGCAAATTTTGAATGGGAATCAACCTGATATGGATGATTTTGTACCCTCCGAGAATCAAGATGAAGAGGCAGTTGCAATGGTTGAAGAATCCCCTTCAGGTATTTAAGTAACCAAAAAAATCTTAAACCCAGTTTCTAAGTTATAATGTTATATAGTTTGGTGATTCATCCTTTAATCACCTTGTACTGTATTATTCATTCTTCTTTCCCCATCTTTTTCTTTGATTGCATTTGTTGCACTTTTTTTGAATATGTGATTTCCTTAGGGTTTGAAAACCATATTTTTTTTCAATGAAATTCCTGAATCTAGAAGATCAGTATGCTTGTAACGAGCATGTATTTGAAAAAGAGAAATTAGTATGCAAAGGAAGTTATGTATTTGCTAAGGGATGACAATGATAGAAATAGAACATTCTCCTTTTGCTTGCAAGAAGTAAACAAATCTTTTCCTGAAGTTGTTGGCTCTGCTCAATTATTGTGTTGGATCATTGTTAACATAGGTGATGAGGCTGCAAATAGCAATGATTCAAACTGGAATATGGATTGCTCTGCAGTTGTTAGAGTTAGAACACTACATATCAGTTCTCCTATCTTAGCTGCTAAAAGTCCCTTCTTTTACAAGGTAGATCTCTTTACTGGTTAGATTTAAAAAAATTATGTGAAAAATATGTTTGCTTAGTTCTGTTTATTTTTCAGCTTTTCTCAAATGGGATGAGGGAGTCCGAGCAGAGGCATGTCACCCTGAGAATTAATGCTTCTGGTATTAACATACATAAAATGCTTTTTAGATTATTTGCTTTGTCAGGTTTATATTCTTTTTAGCTTTTCCTCCAATAGCTGCATTACCTATGGTGAACATCTCTTGCATGTTACAGAGGAAGCTGCTCTTATGGAGCTTCTGAATTTTATGTATAGTAATACCTTGAAAGTTACGTCACCACCTGCTTTATTGGATGTGTTGATGGCTGCTGACAAATTCGAAGTTGCTTCATGTATGAGATATTGTAGCCGATTATTGCGGAATATACCTATGACACCTGAGTCTGCTTTGCTTTACCTTGAGCTTCCTTCTAGTGTCTTAATGGCTGATGCAGTTCAACCATTGACTGATGCAGCAAAGCAGTATCTTGCCGGTCGATACAAAGATATAACAAAGTAGGTTTTTTTTTTTTTTAACACTTCTTTAATAGTTACATGATCTATATTTCATGCATTATAAAGTTACATGTGTTATCTCTTTTGTTGTTAATATTAATTGTGACATATACTTCTTCCACCTTTCTTTGAAGCTAGAGATACCGTTATTTGAAATCAGTTGTATCCACTGTATTGTATTTTTCTGCATCTAATTGTTAGAACCATTATAAAGAACAATTTTGGTGGATGGCTGCTGGTACCTTTAGTTAATAACTAATCCACACGTTGTAAAACTTCTTAAATTGGCTTTTATGTATATATCATGCCATGATAAGAGAAAATTCATGGCATCTATGCATCTGGTGCACCTGATAAGGCAGGGCCAGAATAAAAAAATATATAATTGTATTGTACGGTGCATTGAAGAATATAATATTCAACTGGTGTGGTTGGAAGGAGTTGATATATTTATATATGTTCTTTGCATTATTGTTTTTGAATCTTGATCTTTTGATATATTGGTCTTTTTTAAAGCACGTGTTTCTCCTCTCAGCTTTCTTTATTCCTTTGATCTCAAATGTAATATTTCCCTCAGAATGCTAACACATCTCTCGAATGACCAGGTTCCAAGAAGAGGTGATGGGCTTACCTCTTACTGGAATAGAGGCAATATTGTCTAGTGATGAACTACAGGTTGCATCAGAGGATGCTGTATATGACTTTGTGTTGAAGTGGGTTCGAATGCAGTACCCAAAACTAGAAGAGAGGAGAGAAGTCCTGGGAACTCGACTTTCCCGTTTAATTCGCTACCCGTACATGACATGCCGAAAGCTTAAGAAGGTCTTAACCTGTAATGACTTTGAACAGGATGTTGCATCCAAGCTTGTTCTTGAAGCCCTCTTTTTCAAGGCTGAGGCTCCCCACCGCCAGCGGCTACTGGCTGCTGAGTCTGCTACCTTAGGTCGGGTTTTTGTGGAGCGGGCATACAAGTATCGCCCCGTTAAGGTGGTGGAATTTGAACTTCCACGGCAGCAGTGTGTGGTTTATTTGGATCTGAAGCGGGAGGAGTGTGCGAATTTGTTCCCATCTGGCCGGGTTTATTCTCAGGCATTCCATTTAGGTGGACAAGGGTTTTTTTTATCAGCGCATTGCAACATGGACCAACAGAGCTCTTTCCACTGCTTTGGCCTGTTTTTAGGAATGCAAGAAAAGGGCTCTGTTAGCTTTGCCGTCGACTATGAGTTTGCTGCAAGGTCAAGACCAACAGAGGAATTTGTTAGCAAGTACAAAGGCAATTATCTGTTCACTGGGGGAAAGGCCGTTGGTTACAGAAACTTGTTTGCAATTCCGTGGACGTCGTTCATGGCTGAGGATAGTCTTTATTTTATCAATGGGGTACTCCACCTTAGAGCTGAGCTCACCATCAGACACTGACTGGGATTTGTATCTGTAAACTGTTGTCTTCTAGTTGGTAGCTCTGAGTTTCTTTTGGGTGGTTTCTCATTTTCTGTTAACTTGTTGTAACCTTAACTAATATCCAGGCAATGTGCACTTGGTGGTAGTGCTATGAGATCAAATGAATTATCAGGACTTGCCCTTTTTCACCTACGTGTAGAAAGAGTTTGTGTAGCTGCAGGAAGGACAAGGATCGTTTTTAAGTGGTTTCATTTTAATAACCAAAATGATATTCCAACTATTACAAGTTGTGTCATATTATGTCCGTTAGACTAGGACTTTTCATATAACGCAAGGTATAGATTTCTGAAGTGCGCGAGTAATTTTTGAGTTTAGGGTATACAATTGTTCATGTTGTCAATTGAATGTGCGTTTTCAGGCCATCTCACACGGTTCCAAACACATGGTTAAATTGTTCAATGGGATTATATACTGCACAAGCATTGGTTTGGCTTCTTGTGAAGTCCAAAAGCAGAGATCGAATCCGAATTCCGCATTTCTGATTCGTAAAACAAAAGAAAAATCTTATTCTCATAAACTTGCATTTATCTTTATTTGATAAAATTAATTAAAAGTTTATAACTTATAATTAACTAATTGAATTAAAATTATTCAATAAAATTAACTGGTATATATTAAATAACCAAAAATTGAATTAAAATTATTGTGAATATAAATTATTCAATTTTTTTTTTAAATTTTAAACTTTCCGGTTCTGTTTTTTGTTTTAAAATAATTTTACTAATTTATTAATATAAAAAATTAGAATATTTTAAATAAGTTGATGCGGTGAAATTTGCATCTGAGGCAAGTGTGTGATTGAAGGAACGGTGTCGTGGAGAAATTGACGCGTGAAATATATAAACTGAAGTAATTGTGACGCTGTTCACTTCATATCGATGAATATCATAGAGAACCCTATTCTTGCTCTTGTTGAAGAGAAAAGGAATGAGTTTTGGAATTTTGCCGCGGAGGATATGGAATCGAGTTCTAAATCAACGAACCACACACATCCAATGCAATAATCAACTAATGAAAGTTCGAGAGATCATCTTTTAATCTTTCCCACCGAATAACACACAGAAGAATGAAAGACATGAAAATGACCTCATATCTCGTTGCTTCTGTTTGGTAGTATTTATTTTCTCTAACTCCAAATTTTCTGCAGAATGCAATAAATATTAGTAAAACCCCTTAACCTGTTTTTTTAAAGTACTTCCATACATGATTAACCTATTAGTTGGTGCTCAAATTATACCACTGTACTTGTTGATCGATGAAACATTCGTGATATTGCTGCTAAATGACATTTTATTTTCAAGCTTTAAGATAAAGTTCTGTTAATTCACTAATTGTTTTACTTACATTGCACAAGTTTTTTTTTTATTTAAATAGAAGTTCAAAATATAAATATAAAATTTATTTTACCCATTTTTAAAAAAATTAAAACTAAAAAGTGGATTTTTTATTGTTAACAATTAATATTTTGTTGTATTAAATTAAATTAACTTAAAATGATAACCCGTTTAAATTTGAGAAAAATATTTAATATGAAGAATAGCTCTTAAATATCTCTGCATTTAAAAAGAAACTTAAACTTATAATATGAAGATGAATTAACCGAACATAAAAAGGAAACCATTAAAATAGTGGGCGGTTGAAAACATAAAAGGATTAGTGTGTTAAAAGCGAAACCAAATTAATCTAAATCAACAAACCCAATAAAAATATGAAAAAAAATAAAAAATCAATGTTCTTATTATTTTTTTTAGGCATATACTCGCACTAATGTCGTATTAATTCAAATAATTATAGATTATCATATTTAAATTTTATACAAATTTTAAATTTATATATACTATCAAACTTTTTTCACTTTTTTATTTTTTATTTTTATTATTTATTTATTTTATCTGCATATTTATTAACTTTTTGTATTTCTACTTTTTAATCTTTCTTTTGTTATTAGACAAATTATATATTTTTCATGATTAAATTGATATCAAATAAATTTTTATGTACTAAATAAATACTTTAATGTTTTAAAAGTAATTTTTTTTAATATTTTTTATTGAATATGTGTTTAAAATAAATAAAAAAATTAATAATTATTTTATTATTATTAAGAGAAGAAAGGAGGAAAGAAAGAAACCGACCTTTGAGGAATATATAAAGGGCAATAAGGTGGATTAACAAAAACGCTAACTCACACGTTTCTTTTTTTTCTACTATTGAATTTGAAGTGAGCAGAGGAAGAGAAGGAAAGGGGATAGAATTAGGGTTAGGGTTAGTGAAGGATGCCGAAGAATAAGGGAAAGGGAGGGAAGAACAGGAAGAGGGGAAAGAACGAAGCAGACGACGAGAAGAGAGAGCTGGTGTTCAAGGAGGACGGTCAGGAATACGCACAGGTCCTTCGCATGCTCGGTAATGGCCGATGCGAAGCCATGTGCATCGACGGCACAAAGAGGCTCTGTCACATCCGCGGCAAGATGCACAAGAAGGTCTGGATCGCCGCCGGCGACATCATCCTCGTCGGACTCCGGGACTACCAGGACGACAAAGCTGATGTCATCCTCAAGTACATGCCCGACGAGGCTCGCCTCTTGAAGGCCTACGGCGAGTTGCCTGACACCACGCGCCTCAACGAGGGTATCGGCGCCGGCATCGATGAGGAGGACGATGCCACTGCCAACGACTACATCGAGTTCGAGGACGAGGATATCGATAAAATTTAGTTTCATTCTCTTCTTAAAATATGTTTCTACTCTTACTATTTCATGTTTGCATATCATATCACTTATCATATATCTCTGCTTTGCCTTATATGTACTGTTCAATAATACTCAGATTATCTTTTAGTTTCTCTTTTCTCTTGGCGCTGTGTTTGTTGGGTGTTTATGATTGCCATTATGTGTCTTTTTTGTGTGATTGTGATTGTGCTGCTGCAAAGTGTTCTGTTGTTGTAATCAGTTTTTGAACCTTGCTGTTTAATTAGAGGTTGGTGGATTGATGGTTCAAAGTTTAATTGATAGAGAATGAAGGGATTATTGGTGTTGTGTGTTTAATCATGATCATGTGGTGTGTTATTTTGGTTTGATGAGATGGTGAATTTTCAGTGTAGTTATGGGATGCTGATATTATTGGACTGGTAGAGCTTGTGATTGTCATGTTTCAATACTCAGGTAACTTTAGGTGTTTGGATATCTAATAGTGGGTAGAGTAGAATGAGAGCTGCATTGGATATTATTATGTGTGTCCCATAGAACTAGTTGTTTTCCGCTCCTTCTCTTACCCTTTTCTACCTCCTCATCCCTGCCACTCTCCGGTTTACCCCAATCTTTTATTCAAATCCAACCCAATAGTTTATATGATCTCAGCATTAAATTTGGACTTTTTCTTCTTCATCTTGTCGATTACTCGTAGACTAATTTGCTAACAAAGCTGGAACACAGGGTTCTAATTCAATTTCCCATCGCCCCCTGATTGGGGTAGGAGGTCTAACCGAGTTGCAGAAAAAATGGAATAAAAGTTCCTAGAATTAAACCTCTATTGGTTTATCATGCATGTTTTATCCGGTGGAAGTGAAAATTTGTTGGTTTCATGGAACCGAGTTTGCGAATAAAGGAAATGTAGTTTGCAACCTGTTTGTTTAACAACTCAAATGGAGTTCACGCAATTTTTGATACGCAAAACCACGATCTTTACTATGTTCTGTCATTGGGAAAGTAAACCAATTTTATCTAACAACGTTGTACACGGAAAAACAAAAGTCAGAATTGATTTTGATAAGATTGATATTAAATTTAATTGAAATAAGAGTTTAAGTTAATATTAATTATAAATTTTACATCAAAATGTGTGTTGCAGAAGGAGGAATTGATTTTGGTAAAAACCTAACGAGTTAGCTGCGATGTTCTGGAGTGAAAGACAATTATTGTTTATATCTTCTTTCGAGCATACTCATTTACCATTAATTTTCATTATGTTGACATTGAACTGTTGTTAATCTTGTACTTTATTTGTCCATGCAGAGAGTCCCATTATTTGAAATGTTTCGTGAAATGAAAGAGAATGTTGCTTTTATTAAGAAGGGAATAAAAGTGTGGGATTATAAAGCTATATGTCAGAATGAATACGTGCAACATTTGTGTCTTCATATTGCGATATGAACATAATTGCTTAGTGGTCACTCCGTTAGGAGACATTAGGCCCCCGTATCTTAATCTGATCACTGGTCGAACCGACCATGAGTTAGAGACCTAATGCTTTGCCAAGTAAATTGTATTTTAATTTTCTTTTGGATAACATGCTTTTGACTAAAACTTCAGACCTGAATAGGAAGTAAAATTTGAAACAAGTTAACGTTGTTTTTTGGTTGCAGTAACTGATATTAAATGACATTCATTACATAAATTCAACTAATTAAAAAAGTATGCGATTGAAAAAACCCTTCAGCGGCTTAAATTATTTCCTCTGATTTTCTGTACCGAAGTATTGACTTGGTTAACATTCTGGGCCATCCAGAGGAATCTCAGAGTAAGTCAATTCAAGCTATCTAGCACCGATTAACTGTTGGCTGTGTTACTTGTTTAGAAATACACTTAAGAGCAATTTCCCTTGGCAGGTAATGGACGCAACTCGGATTACATCCCTCTAACCGTGTAAAGTTACAATAAGATAGTCGTTTACAGTAAAGGTTAATAAGTACCTCATTTATAGAAGACCAAGTGTTATACCATTGCAACTATTCAAATTCTTATGTTTCTCATCACAAACTTCTCTGGTAGATCAGAGTGAACTTTTGCTTGCCCTGGAGCGAGATTTGTGATCCTCCAACCTTGCTTCAAGCAGTTTTGCCATCAATGTGTTGTCCTTCATTACTCCCCTAGCCAATTTGGAAGAAGAATCAGACTTGTGAAAATCCGGGACTACAGATGTGGGTTTCCACTGTTTTACAGTACTAACATTACCAGTAACTGCAGAATGGACACATGATTCTTCCGTATAAAGTTTATCACCTTCGAAAGACAAGGATCTGTTTCTAACCATGTTGTCAAGCCTGTGACTTGAATTCATTCTCTTTGTCCATAATCTATTACTTTGTGGTGGACCTTGTGTTGCCTCACAAACAGTTGATGCCCCAGGGGTATTAAATAGAGCTGTGCTGTCCCCTCCCATTTCACTTGATTTCCTCTCAAAATTCCAACTTTCATTTTCATCACATGACATGTTCTTCCCTACGTTTGCTTCCAACTCACTGTCCTCAGTAATTTCCTTTGACTGAGCTTGTCTCCCCTCTGAATTGAGGCTGCTTTTTTTTTCTTTATGGACCTCTACAGTATTATTGCTGCTCAGTTTGCAGCTGGGTTTGTCAAATCCTTTATCAGAAGTCCTTTTCTGTTTAAAAATGTGGGTACTAATGGAGTCTTCCTCATCCATATTATGAAGTGCACTTATGCCCTCCTTTTGGAGAAAGGAATCCAATGAATGCGAGCAAGGGTAAATTTCCTTGAGCTTCTTTGAGGAGGAGTTACCATATCTTCTCAAGTTAACAGATCTTTTTGCACGAAGAAATGTTTCAATATCAACGCCTAACTTGTCAACAATTGAATCTATCTCAAGTAGATCACTGCCTGCTTGAACTTGGTTCATTTGCTTGCGCTCCTCAAGCCAAGCTTCTGAAAGATGAAGTATTAGCCTATCAATGTTATCCCCTTTAACTTGACCCTTCTCAGCATTATGCATAAGGGAACGTAGCTCATGTTCACAATCTCTTATTCCTTTGGCAAAATCATCACACAAGTTCTCCAAAAGGATCCGTGTTTTTCTCTCCTTACCAAGATCTCTCAAAGAACTGGAGAACGAATACTTTACTTCAGAAAGCTCTCTAGCCAGCCTCCTATGCAGGCTTTCTGAATGCTTTCTTAACCTCCTCTCATCTTCTATCTCTTCCTTCACTGACTGAATTGCAGCTTCAATTTTATCATGTTCTTTGTTCTTCCTAACAAACTTGTTCTCTGTTATTTGCTTCGTTAAGTTCTCCATTTCCAGCTTATCCAATTGCTTTTCTTGTCGTAGCTCTTTAACCTGTGTTCGAGAAAGATTGAGTTCCAGTTTCAGGGCTTTCACTACTGATATATTTGATGCATGCTGTTCTTCGAGACACCAGATATGGTTAAGTACCTTGAGTAACTCTTTGGATGATTCAGGGCTGTGACTTGACTCTCTAATTCTACCCTTGAATTCTAAAGAGTGAATAGGATTTATATGATTGTACGCTTCAACCTGTTTTAAGCAAATAACGTATTCAATCATCTTATCATATATAAAGGGTAAAATAACATCATTTTGAAACTCATCTAGTTCGCAGATAGTTTTGAAGATATACATTATATATGTCACAGTAGGATCATTGACAATAAATACAACAATGCATCATGCTTTATAAATTAAGATATGGAGTTTCCTCAATAAAAAGGAAAAGAAATCAAAGAAACCATAAAGAAAGTTGGTTAGCTATATCTGTTTAAAAACTAAGGAGAGATTGTTGTAAAAGACGGCTTTTGATAAAGTCTATCTAAACCTTAAGGGACTTCTTGGCAAGACCCTTTGAATTAATGGAGCTAAAAATGTTGAAACAGTGCTCACAAATCAGAATTGTAAATTTGAATACATGTCCTAAAAGAAACGGGCCTAAAAAGCTAAACAGATAATAGAAAATACGTTCAGGATGCTTCCAGATGACTACTTTATTATATCTTCACCATTTCTCAGGATGATGAGTATCTAAAAGCATTTCAATCTTATAAAATTTCCCTCGTTAAGTCCTCAATATAATGGTGGTTCTTTAGCTGCAAGAACCCGTTTCCTTCTAGTGCAAAAGTTCCATTTGATATTTGTATGATACAAAGTTACCTTCAAGGCCACAATTGGTGGTAATTATGGATAACTAGTCAGTTAGTATCCTCGTTTAAACTTCATACTTATATAATATTATTAATTTGTTAATTTCTTAAAAACCATAAAACTGCTTAAGATTCAAATGGAATACTCGCTCACAATTACTTGCATGGAGCTACTGTAACTAGCAGGGGATACAGGTTGTAGAGTGCGATCATTTCTTTTAACTGATCTACGGTGGTGGACAAGTGATGTTTGAACATGTCTTCTCAAGCCCCTACCAGATGCTGTCTGCAATGACGAACAAATATGGGTCAGCAATCCAAATATATTAAAATACTTTAAACAAAATTATGACACTAGGAAATTGAGTGTTTGCAAAACTATGTTATTGCTAACTCTGTTGCTATCCTAGCGATTAAAGTGATTCACTTAAAAGAACAAGAGGTGGTTTCATAAGAAGCAAAGTTGGGGAATGAAGCTAAATGAATGCAGCTCCAGTGAAATACTGAATCACTTTCTTGACGCGTAAAAGCGCCATGAGAATGCAAGTATATGGACGCTGGATATTAAATAACCTCCCTTCATATGGAGCTCCATGCTATATTGAAACCTACCTTAGACATTTAATTGAAGAAAGTATCTTAAGATGAATAAGGGATAATTATGTAGACAAGGTTCTGAAAAATTTATGGGAATGGCCCAAATGAAATGAGAAGCAACACCTAAAAGCAAATGGGAATATACAGAATCAATCATAAATAATAAGAGTCTTCTTAACAAGTACCCTTTATCGGCATTAAGAGATCAGTAATTAATAAACTTCTATGAAAAAAAATATATTGTTACATTTTTTAATAAAATTTCTATTTTTACAACTCAATTGCATAATGCTAACTGTAGGTGAAGTGAAAATACGAAATTATATTTTTTTTTCACAAATCTACATCACCCGTTTAATTTAATTTGACATATATAAACCAAATCAAAGTCATCAACTTTTATAACCGAAACTGAAAATTCCAATTTTAGGCGTAAGAATATGCACAAAGATGGGAAGAAATTTAACATAGGAATATTTTATCAAAAAGTTTAAGCTAAAAGATGGGACACCCTGCCCACCAGTCATCAGTCCCTAAGGGATCAAAATCTTGTGCACGGGAAGAACATTTTTGGTTAAGCCCACTAACCAAAATGCCCCCCAAAACACAAAGACAATAAAAGGTGATGAAAGAAAAACTAACAAGAACAGATGAAAAGCAGAGAACCAAATAGACTTATTTCAAACTAGTACAGAAACAAATCATATATGAAAAAAAGAATTGAAAAGAAATTTTGTTCAATAAGCAACACGTTAGAGCTCAATGATGCAAAACAAAAGAGAGAAAAAATAAAAGGGTGGGCTTGAAGAGACACAACAGATGCTGAGATCATTAGACCTGGTGAGGGGGGCTATGAGGAGTTTGAGACATATGTTTAGAAAGCTGAAGAAGATTGTCCCTGCGGTGGTGAAAGTGGCTGCGAAGCCTGATTCCAGGTTTGCTCATTGTGGGAAGTGGGGCCAGTTGGTGGGGTTGAATTTCCCACAGTTTGGCACAAAGCTTTCTGGCAGAGAGTGTAGATGTGGGAAAGTTGAGGAACTCTTGAACCACGTTTTTGTTGTTACCATTCTGCTTAGATGGAAACTCAAGTCTCCAAGTGGGTGGGGGAGTTGAAGGGCATCCTCTTTTCCCCACAAGTTTCCACTTCTCCACCATTAACTCTTCCTTTTTCTTACTTTTTTCTCTTCTTGCCATCTTCCTACTCCTTCCTCTCTCAACTTCAAATTTTAAAAATCATTTTGTTAAAGTATAATATAAATAAAAAACGAAAGAAATCACTTGTTCCTTTTTAACAGTGAGATTGAAATGTTTTCTTCTCGTTTTTCTTTCAAACTAGACAGTGCTGTGTCACCACTCAAGCAAGCTCCAAGAACAAGTCAAGTAAACTTAAGGGTAAGTTACAAAGTCAGTTTTCTTCTCTCTCGTCAAGACATGAAGCCACGTCAACACATGTTTCGGAGTTGGGTCCCCTTTTTATTGGGCCCTTATCCCAACACCTTAATTTTGTCGTCCTTTTGTCTTGTCTCCTCACAAAATAATTGTTTTACTTTTTTTTGTTCTTCCCTTAAACCGTATTTCAGTCCCCATCGCTGGGGAAGGTTAGATTTCCCTCTTTATTTATTTTTAATCATATAAAAAAGGGACAATATAAATCAAACTCTATTTAGATTTTGGCTTATAATTTTGTCTATCATATGACATTGATGACGCTATGTTATATGTGCTAAAGATTTTCAAATTATGTCATTATTTTTCAACTAAAAAAATGATATTGTTGTGTATACAAATCTTATTTTTCAATTAATTTACAGCTCCTACACATAAATAAAATTGAATTATTATATTCTTTTAAATGTTATTTATAACAAGGCTTACAAAAGTACAAGAAGACAAATTTGTATTAAACTATCTATAAAAATTTTAAGAGTGATTATATTTTTATAAAATTTTGTCTTAATACACTTCTATAAAACTACTTGTAAATAAGTTTCGTAAGAGTATAACTCATTGAATTATACATGGAACTTGTTATATCTCATTTGACATGTTTTAACTGAAATGTTTACTTCCATGACATAAATTTAAAAAAATGAAATAACCTCCTACCAACAGACTAAGGAAGAATAACCAATTTCAATGGATTGTTTTCAACATTGTATAACCAATCTTAAAAAATCACTAATTCCTTTTAAATATAATTTTGTATTAAATTTGTACTCTTCATAATTTTTTATTCCTTTAATTTGAAGATGTTAAGCATCAATTAATCAGAATAAGGAACAAAACATGACACATAAGTCTCGTATGTGGCGGAAAGTGTAATCGCATCATCATCATTATTGCTTTGAAAGACAAACAGAACAGGCCATGAGGCCAGCAAGGGGCAGTTAATAAAAAGGGCAAAAAGCCTAAAGTTAAGAGGTGAACATTTGAAATTTTCATTTGCTTTCTTCCATGCAAAGCTAACCTAAGCTGTGCCTGTAGATGTACAACTATAAGATCACACGGGCCTTGAATTTAATCAAGAAAATATTATGATGTAATTATGACTAAATATTTGATTAAGGGAAGATTGAGAGGGCATTAAAACTCAAGTAAGCATGGGGCTTATAGGATTATGGGATAGCACAGATTGCAGTGAGCAAAACAAGTGATCGCGATAAATCTTTGGAGGCATGTTGTCCTGATGAGGGTCCACATTCTGAGTCTAGGACTTAGCATTTTGTCCATTATGATCATCGAGTGGCCTTGTGGTCCATCTTCCTTCTCATCTCATGCCTTGTCTTGGAATTTATTCCTCGATTATTATTTTTATGGGGAGACATGGGATTGCCCAAAGATTTCATTTTTTGTACCTATTCCATACTACAAGTTAATTTAAAAGCAAAAGCAAGTTCAACATAGTTGAATAATTTTTGGGAAAATGGAACAAGAGAATTCCTTTCACATACTTCCACATTGAGGTTCTTGGCATTAACCCTACATCATTTAAGGGTGTCATGACAGGTCTCTTAACATTCTTAAAAGCCCATGCACAAGAGTACCATTTGCAGAGGGGTTTTGTGCCCTTGTACGACCTTCACACTTTTCTGTCTAGCTATCAACAACAGTGGCAATATAGGCTTTGCTTACTAATTGCATTTGGTGCATTGTTCCCCACTCATTACTCCTAGGTAAATTTCGCGAGAACACCATTTTTTTGGTAAACAAAATTTGAAGGTGAGAGAATAACATTAATTTAAGGTGGGAAATACTTATGTGCTAAAAAAGTATTTACTATTTACAAATAACTTATATTTATTTCATCTTAAGAAAATGAATAAAATTCGTGTATACAAATTGTCATATACAAGACTAAATTTTATTCTATTTTTCCAATCCCTTAGGTCAGATCATTATGTTTCATTACTAGATTTGTTTGAGTCTCCATTCCCTTAAATTGTTTGTGGTCCAAAAAACGTTAACGCTAACACACATTAACAATGTGCCTATTTTATCTCCAACATTGGTAATGATTGTTTAATGTATGACAATTGGGTTTTTCACTTTCCATATCCTCTTTCTGCTGCCTCCGAAGTGTCAAATTTTTTTATGAAGCCAGGAAAGTTATCATGTCACTTAGTAGATGTCTAGTAGTTGTAACATAATGTTTTTCTCATATTTAGCATTAGGAGTAAAAAGCAACGGGTCAAATGAAAGTATTGTAACTAGAGAAATAGTCATCCCACGAGTTTAAGAATGGCTCTACATGCACATTCCAACAGTTAGAATCAACTTCAAGAATGGCTATGCTCCTACTGTTAAGTTTTATGGTCAGTTCTACGGCTTAATTTGCATAACTGCAGCAGATGCTCTTTATATGTCAAAGAGGAGGTGAGTATAACAAACCAAACACCTTTAATTTTTGCGGGATCGTCCTTGTTGTCCAACTTCTTTGGCAGTGATTAATAGATTTCAGAAAATCTAAGGATGTTTTCTTCTTTCATTTATTATTTTCAATTTTAATTATAAAAAGGTTACCTATCTCCATTAAATTTTCTATTTTCAAATATTTATATACAAAATACTAAAAATAATTAAAATAATTCAAAATAAACTCAACTGAATTTGGAAACAGGAAATGTTTTTTCTTTCAAAACAAACAAGCAAATTTGATTTTGGGCCAAATATACTCTTCAGCGGCTACTTTAAAAATAATTAATACTTCGGCTTGTAATCTCTTAACAATGAGGCTAAAAAAAAGCATGGACAAGGTGAGATAGATTAAATTCTCCAAAAAGATCAAACTTCAGTAGTTGGCATGCTGAAAATGTTATCGAGCATCAAGTTATGTTTATTATGTTTAATCATATTTCAGTTCTAGGCACCAACAGAGTAATGAGGCAAAGTTGCGCTGCGGGCCAGTATAAACAAAGTCTGAAAAGATTGACTATCTTAATGCACATATTACATTGGTAAGTTCTACTCAAGTTTGTATGTTCTACGAGAGAGAGGGGAACTATTGCAACGTTACTCATGCCACAATGCACTGCTAAAGCTTTCCATTGACTTTGGTACAAAGCCCATGTAATTGGTACAGAACCATGGACCCGGCAAATCTTGGTGTGGATGCCCTTAATGTAATTCAACAAAATATCAAACAAATTTGAGAGTTTCTTGATATATAAATTCACCATACTAATACATTTTAAGATCCTCCGGCGTAACCTTCTGCTTGAAAGAGGACAGTCACATGTTCTTTTGCAATCAGTCACAATTGAGCACTCACACTATGACCTGTGAAGTCAGAAGGAAAAAAGAAATCTTTACCCAACGAAACATGCAATACTCAATTATATTGCTAGTTTTTAAAGGCTTTAGAAGAACCAAATAGTAACAAATTAGGCATAAAAATAAAGTTTTGAAAAAAATTAACTATATTTTTTATCTCATTTTTTCTTATAATTCACCGTAATAGGACCTAGGGGAGGTACCGCCATTAGAATGGTGCTTAAGGGATCCTCATTAAGGGGGCAGAAAAGGGGTGGATGAGGGAGGAGGAACGTGTAAGGGATGTCCATTAGAGGGAGCTACTGCTGATTGATGAATCCCCACCAAAAAATTGCAAACAAATTTCAACCAAATGAGCTGGACTCAGGACATTTTGTGTCTTTAGTTTCACCAAAATTCAATTTCAGTCCCTTAGTTGTGATTCCCACAATATTATCCCTTTCGTTCTTACAAATGATGTAGTCATGTCCTTTTGACATATTTGCAAAAACTAGAGAAAAGAAGAAAGGCCATGGATTTAATTAATAAATGAATTTTACGCATCATAATGTTAAAATTTCCCACCTAAGCTTGACTATGAAAAAGAAACTTTGCAAAAACAAGAACAAAATGCTCAATTTATAATGTTAAAAACAAGAATAAAAGAATAGGACCACACCTCAAGGTTGACAAATCAAATGCTCTTCTCTGCAAGACCATTCAATTTTGCCAAATTTGCTTCCCTCCAGATTGCTTTCACTTCATCTGTCCGGAAACGCTGGGTGAATGTAGAATCCTCCAGTGGAGTCGATGCACCATGAGCAAATTCCAGCAGACCTGTATAAGCTATCATTGCACCGTTGTCAATGCAATACCTATCATCAGTGGCAAACAACCTTCCACCACGTTCAGAGCACATTGTTCTCATCATCTCTTGCAAACGCTCATTGCAACCTACACCACCAACAATAAGAACATCTTTCGAGTCACAATGAGCCATAGCCCGCTCAGTTATCTCCACAAGCATGGCAAACAAGGTCTCCTGTGACATACTAAAAAATATCAATTTGCAATGTGACTATGTATTAATGCAATATAATAGGATGAAAACAATCAGCACAAATTAAATTTACCTGCAGAGAGTAGCACAAATCTGCAGGCGTGCACTCATTATTCTTAAGCTTTTCAACAGCAGTTGCTTCAATATAGCTCAATATTCCACTGAAAGATACATCCATCCCTTTGACAACATAAGGAATGTCAATAAATTTCTCTCCTTTTTTCGCGAGCTGGAGGATAAGGAAATTTTATAAGCCAAGTTGAGATAGATTTTCACGTTCAAAGGATGTGCCATAAACCATGTAAAATAGACAAATAGAAAAGCACCTGCTCAATGTTGTATCCAGGACTTGGATCGTTGGAAAGTGTTAAAACCCTGGCAAAGCGATCCAAGCAGTTGCCAACAGCAATGTCAATGGTCTCCCCAAAGATTCTATAACGGCCCTCACTGTAAGCAATGACTTGAGTGTTGCCACCACTGACATACAAGACAACAGGATCATCAGCACCAGTTACAACCCTGCCCATCTCAATGTGTGCCACACAATGATTGACAGGAACAATGGGCTTCTTCCAAAGCAGTGAAAGCACACGAACAACAATAGCAGACACTTGCAATGGAGCTCCCATGCCAGGACCCTTGGTATAGCAGAGACAATCAATTTCTTGAGGAGTGACTTGTGCAGTTTGCAAAGCAGATTTGACAAGAGGAAGAATGTGTTGGAGATGATGCTGTGCTGTCTCTCTTGGAAGAAATCCTTGACCAGGAGGCGTGATATATGTGTGGCGTGGATTTGAGAGAATTGTTCCATCTAAGGTCACTACCCCAACACCAATCTTGTTCGCTGAACCCTCAAACCCCAACGCTATCATTCTCTTCATTTCTACTTTAAGAAAAAAGAACTATAAAACATTGATTAGTTACTCATTATGTTGTGCTATGTAATCACAAAACCCAAAAGGAAAAAAAAGAGGGTAGATTTTTAAAGCATAGTTAGCGTGGCGAGTAGAAAAAGATTGAATTTTGTGAAGGAATTGGCATGTGGGGGCGAAGAAAGAGTCGTTACCTGTGGCTGCCGGCAGTTTCAAAGGGATAGTGCTTTCTGGTTCCTTAATCTTCGGAATCCGAATGGGAGGGTTTATGTTAGTGCTTCCTTTTTCGTATTTTCGTTTAGCTAATGTTGGTGCCAATTCTCTGTTGACTAAGTTGGGTTGTAAAAAGACCCGACAAATTCATGGGCTGCCCAATAAAATTTTACCCGTCTAATTTTCATCAATTGGGCTATTACGTTTCTATTTTTTGGGATCATATGATTTTTCGACCAAAGAAAAAGGACCATAAGATTTTTATTTTATTTTTATAATTTAATTATCTTCAATTCTGAATTAAGTAGAAACTAATAAAATTTAAACAGTAATATGTAAAATAAAAATTAATTTATAATTATGATAATTTTTTCCACTACAATGTGTCAATTAGTTGTTCCATTTTTTTTTCTCACTAGTGGTATTTCTGTCATTGACATATAAACGATGATCATATTAAATGAATGTTGATCGTACCTTAAAGAACATGTACCAAGCTATGTTCTTAACATTCACATAATTTCTTTTAATTGTTCTGTTCTGTCAGTACTGTTCTTGACCTTTTTAAAACCTTAGACAAAATAAAAAATTAAGACCTTTTAAAAAAATTATAAAATATAATAAACAAAATAAAATTATATATTAATAATTTTATTAAAATAATATTTTTTTCTTAAGTAACTTTAATTTTTTCTAATAAAATTAAAAAAAAATATTCTTTCATTCAACCAACTCTTTATGTTATAATTAATTACAAAAACACAAAAGATCATAAAAATGAGTTCTACAGCATTCTGAGATGCAAAATCATTAATGATAACATTAACATTAATATTTTTTAAAAATCTTTATCGATTGATAAAATTGTGAAACCATTCAACGGTTCTTGTAACATTGATGACCTTAGGTAGGTTTTGATTAACTTTAACTTTAAAAAACTTCTTTCAGTTGATAATATAGTCATTGGGACCGTAAAAAAAAATCTATAATTGATTAAAACATTTAAATAACAATTTGTAAATTTGACAAACTCAATAACTATTTAATATTTTGGAAAAAAACTAAAATTCTCCATAAAATTTAATGTTAAGAATAGTTAAATTTTGGAATTAAATGAAGTTTTGAATCTACTAGGTCAATGAGTCGACTATATTTATAACAAGTGAGGTGCAGAAAATTAAATTATTTTTTTTTCTATTTTTTTCAACTGCAAATTATAAGAGCTGAATTTTTTTTTAAGTAAAAGTAGGACACGATTTTTACTTTGGGCGCTAGGCGATCGCACCTCTAAACTACCCTCAAAACTGGGCCGAGTTTCTGTGTATATGATTGAAGTCGGATGAATGTTTATATCCAAATTATGACTCCATCGTCACAACCAATTCTAACAATATACCTATTAGAAACCACAGATATTACTTCATCTTTGCAAACAGATACTAATACATACAATAATTCAAGAGGGCTGCATAGTAAAATATTACAATTTTATGTGGTTGAAACAAAATTAACTCCTCGGGTGGAGAATCCAATATCACGCGACCGTCTCGCCTAGGAGGGTATGTTTTACTTTATAATTACAATGTTACAATGATGGCTACGTAGATTGACCTTGCCTAGTTTGTATAGATTGTTGTTGAAGAATACCAATTTGTATAAAGCTGTTCGTAAAGAGACCCATCTGTACAGCAGGTTTGCAAAACAATTTGTAGATCAACTCGTGTCTACCTTTAGTTTTATTTTTTAAAATATTTAATTTGCAAACTAACTAAAATAATCTGTGTTTGAGTTATTGTAATTTTAGTCCATTTAATTTATATTATGTGTAATTTTGATCTTTAAGCTTCATTTAGTCAATTAAGTTCTTTTATTTTTAAAATTAAGTAAATTTAGTCTCTTTACATATATATAAATGTTTGGGGTTTATGATAGGACAAGTAAATGCAAACTAAAGCTGTGCGGGTACTTTGTAACCTTGGAACACAATGATTTTTATAAGAGTAAAATAGACCCACTTAAGCTATACAAACTAAAATTGGATGTGACACATTTGTTCTGCTATTAAACTGCGTTGATAACACCCTACACAGGTTACTTTCAAATCTAGTCGGCAACTCCTCCATTCCAATCCCAACTGAGAAGCGGTTTGAATATTCTTCCTTTGCCTTGTTGGGTAGTGATTTGTGTCTAAAATGATGTTTGTTTATTTAACATGTATTTGTCACATCACCAAGGATAGGCTGGATAGCCCACCTTTGCTATAGCAGCCGTGGACTTCACTTCTCCGCCAACACTCAAAAAACACATTATTTTTCACCTTTCTAATTTGCTAAAATAAAAATAGAGGTGTACGGACGACACACTCTCAACCCCACTTGCACAATATAGAATGTGATCTTTGCACAGGTTGTGTTAAGGATGCTATAAAGGGTTCCATAGAAGTCCATTCAAAATCATTCAGAAGCCTCACGATTAACAAAGATATGTCTGTGTAATAAAATTTACCTTTTCTTTCAGATCTCCACAAGAATAAGATTAAGAACTAGTTTCAATAAAAACTTAACTCAAGGAGAAGAAAATAAGATGAGTCAAAGTGATAAAATAATCAAATTTTTTTATTAATTAAAATTAACTTATATTTTTCAACTTCTTTCAATATTCCATAGCTCTAAAAGACACCGGTAAGCAGAAGGAAAGTAGTCTATTCGCAACCACGAATCTAAAGCAATTTCTCCTCTCTGAGAAAATGTCTGGCTTTCAGAAACGAGCAACCGTCCAGTAACACATGGATCATACATGTACTTAAATTACACATTTCATGCTAACTTAATAGAGAAGGTAGTCATGATTATTAGAGCAATTCATAAATAGAGAAAAAAAAGGTAAAAGAAAAATATAGCTGTGGTATTTTCAAATGCTATTAATGATATTCCAGTATCCATGAATAAGCAGTTTTATCAGCAAGAACATTTTGTATGAACTGTGAGAACACCGAAATCATATTAGATTTTTACTTAAAGAAAATGGAGGAAACTGGGCAGAAACCTTAGACACAATCCTCAGTAGCAGCTGTCGATTGTGAGGAGAACTAGGGAGCAATTTCAAGTCTGGGCTCAAAGCAAAAGCCAGTAAAAAGTTGCAGCGGGAATCTTTTGTTCACAGGGCACTTCTGCGACCATTTCCATTGTTTATGGTTCATGTCAAATATGAGAAGTGCTGGAGCTCCATAACTTTGAATATATATCAGATCATCTGCACCACTGCTAGCAAAAACATCATCAAACTCTCCAAAGCCCTGGAAAAATTTGTGGGGCATTCGAGCAATCTCTTCCCATCTCCTATCATTTAGAACCCAGATACCAATTCCTTTTATTATGTCAGGTCGATCTGGTTTACCAATTCCTCCCACCATTACAAGCTTCTCTTTCAGATTCATCAAACGGCCACATGTTAGAGAACAAGGTACTGGAATAAAGCTCCTAGTCAAGCTACTTTGAGAAGAGCGGTTGGACATGTTATATGCAATCAGGGAATGGCGATTTTCAGGTGAGCCACCCCCAGTTGAATAAACTAAAAAGTATAGCACCCCATTACTAATCACACTCTCATCACCACCTCTCCACCCCATCAAAACTTCTCTTAGAGGTGTCACCCAGGTTGCTTTTTCTGAATCGTATAAATGAATTGAGATATCCCACTGGAAAAAGTTATCAGGGACTTGCTTAGATTTTGCAATTGCCACAGTATAGCTGTGAGATTCCCTGTTCACTGAGATGGCTAATGCACTGTAATCAGAAAATTTCAAGCCTGGAGGCTCCTCAAGCTTCCTGTAGCTTTTGGTAATTGGGTTACAGATGCATAATTCACTTCTACTGTCATTGTCCATGAAGCAAACCAGGCCACATGATGAAGCAATGAACCAATTAGAAGTGCCAATGCATGGAAGTTCAATGCCATACCATTTCCGAAGGACAGGGTCAAAAGCATAACCGATTGGTTCATTGGAGGTTGTAAACATGAAGTACCAAGGTTTCTGTGGTAGAACGTGTGAAAGGTTCCATAAAAATCTCTCTGAATTAACAATTTCATGCCACCTCTTACACACACAACCAGCTCTAAAAATGCTTGCAATGGGGAGATAGGCTAGGATTCGTTCCAACAAGTCATCAGGCAAAATTACATCCACAGAAACAGCAGTAGCTTCTTTTTCAACTTCTTCACCAAGTTCTAAAAAAGAATCAAACTTCCCAGTCTCCTTTAGTCTTTCATCATAGTGGCTGATCCAAGAAGTTTCTCCCGCCATAGGAGTTAGAAGGAAAGACCTAGTGAGTGTATTAAAGCACAAAAGGACAAAAAGATATTATTATTAAAGCATCCTAATGCCAAATAAGGAAAAAGCCTAGGGATTATCTCACCTAAGAATGCACTACATCATGTAGATATGCTATCATACATTCAAACTCAACTAGGTAAAGCACCTATGTACAATGAAAAGGCATTTCAGATCATCCAACCAATAATAATAAAGAGAACATGAAGATGATCGATGCAAAAATCCGCAATAAGAAAACTTCCTTTCACAGCGTAAATAACCAAAGGATCATGGAATAGAATACAACAAGGAAGGTCAGAAGAAGATACAGACAAAAAGAATTCATTCCCTTCTAGAAAAAGCAATTACAATATTAATTCTCAACCTTAGGAGTGGAGCAATAGAAGGGGCACATGGCCATCACAACAACTATCCTCCTTTCCTGCAATTGAGAAATCCAAATGGTAGAGGAAAGATATACATCACTTACTAAATTAGAAAATCTAGTGTTTTCATACATACAACTAGGGGTAAGACATCAAAATGATTTAAGTATTTTACAACAGAAAACACCGATAAAATACAAAGGGTAATAGCCCAATCCCACACAAGGAAAATTTCTTAGAATTATTTCATACTTTCAACCAAATATTGTTTATAATTTGAACAACAGAATAGTCGTTAGTTGCAATTCCACAGAAGCTAATTACACATTGTAGCTTAGACAAAGCAACGTACTAGATCGAAAATTTAGTTAACAAAGAAATACAGTGGACTATATGAAATGAAAGAATTTAGAACAGAAGAAAACTTTCAGAAAATCCGATGTCATAAATGCTATTATATTCAGCTCACACAAATAATATATTACGCTAAACAAACTCAAAATCTACCTGCTTCCAGGTTAGCTCCGAGAATTGATGTCTAAGGAATCATAAACGAACACCGCGCATGACACAAAGGGGAAATTTTATAAAACAGACGAATATCAACCTTTAAACCAATGTCTCGTCCTTCAAGTACCTCAAAAACAGAACAAGCATTGCAAGTTGCTGATTCCTAACCAGCATTTATCAAAAATTGAAAATGATGCTAAAGCGAACATTTTTTAACATCAAATCTTCCCAGAAAGCCCGTTGATCCAAAAACAATGACTTCTCTGCATTAAATCAGCATTTGATACAAAAACAACTTTACTTAACCTTAAGCATCAAGCCCTACGAAGGGGGTTGGCATGACTCAAACTTTGTAAGACCAAAAAAAAGGGGGGGAGCGAGGGAAATCAAATGGTGAAATACCTATCAAGCAAAAATCCAAGTCGAACCCTCTTCGATCCTGAGAAAACGAATCAATAGAAGCAATCCCAAGCTGGTATCAACTTCCCAAAACACACACAGATCAACGAAGATAGAGATGCATCAACAAAACATTACAACAATCACCTTTTCTCATATATTTTTAATTTAAAAAAGAGAAGGCGAAAAAGAAAATATTTTGAGAATTGATAGATGAAACCCAAGACATGGAAATACCTTGTTCGAAAGAGTCCACAGTGTGAGTGAGGAAAAGGGTGTGAGGAGATTCAATGCTTCGCAGAACAAACAGAACAAAAGAAGAATCTTGGCGCAATTGGAGTGATTGAGTTTGAGTGTGAGTTTGAGAGGTTCCTAGCTCACAAGCATTGAACTTTAGGGAGAAAACTAAATGGGTTTTGCTTCAAATGGGAGAACAACGAAATGGGTTGGTCTAGATTTGGTTGATAAACAAGGCCAGGCAACCCAACACGCACTGAAGAGAGAGAGAAAGAGAAGCGTTTTATTTATGTTTTGTGTTCTTTTTCGTTTCTCTTTTGATACAACATAAACGACAAGCATGTAATGAAGTGAGGAGGCGGTTTTTCTATAGGAATTGTGCTTGTAAGTGTGTGTGGGGGGGGGGGGGGGGGAGAGAGTGAGAAGCTCGTGTGTTTTCTTTCTTCTTTTTGTTTCTTTTTTTCTTTTCTTTTTCCTCCGTTGAATGGTTCCACGGCAAAATGGCCGAAGGTTGAGGTGTTGTTCAGTATGTTCGAAGGCAAATTTCAATTTGATCCTTTAAATTAGATTTCGGCGATGATCAATTAAACATACATTAAGTATACATATGTATCATGTGTTGCCCTCTTTCCTTTCTATTCTTACTTTAAATATTTAACTTTATTACTATATCTAGTCAGAAAATATAATCTGAAATCTCTTATCTACTGTAAGGATGACAATTTTTGTCGTTTTGAATCTCATTGTTTATTTATAAACTGATTTTATAATTCTTTTTCTTTTAGAAAGAGATTGAAAGTTTTCTCAAAATATATTTGATGATGATGTAGGAATCATATTCACTATCTTGCAAAAATTTCATGTAATAAAAATAATAAAATGAAGTATTCACTTGTACGAAGGAAATTAAAAAAGAAAAAGGTTAGTCTTAAACTGTAATAAAATGATGAAAACTATTTAGGCCATTTTCCATAAGGTTTGAGGAAAATGGTGTATTTTGCCTTGACTATCGAATTCTTCCTATTTTGCTTAGAAATATGCTTAAACCGTCTCTGTGAATGTTTTAATTCCTTAATAAGAAAGGTTCGAACCAAATTAATACGAAAGGAGCTTCAAGCAAAGGCAAAGGATCGATACTTTGTTCAATTTATAAGAGCAGAGGAGAGGAGAAAAAATTACATAATTTGTTATTGTACATTTATTGAGGACAACGATAAAAAATCATTAAGCTTAAGTAATTATGTAAAAACAATTTAATTTAGGTAAATATAGTATTATAAAAATAATTATTATAACACTATTAAATTCTGTTGAGAAATCTTATAAAAAATTGATTCTTTTCTAATACGGTGCCAATATTTAATAAAAATAATGGACAATCTCCATAACTCTTAAATCTTTCATTTCATCTTAGTTGATAAGATATCTAGATGTTTAATATGTTAGTCTTTATTCAATATTTAAAGGAATTCTTCGATCAATTTCAACAATTATTAAAAATCTAACTTTAATATTTATTTTTTTATAAAATTAACTTATATTTCAAATACTCAATTCAACAACTCATTTACAAATGTTAGTATAAACTTATTCGCTATCCCACAACAATTATTTGGATGCGTCGTCTATCAGTATATATGGTAGTATTTTTACGAAATCTTTGATACTACAAATTAAATTAAGGAAGAAACCTTAATTACGCGTTTATTTTAAAATTTATAAAGTTTTTTTTTTAATAGGAATGTGATAATGAGAAAATGACAAAAATGATAATTAAAGGATATTTTTATTTTTTTAAAATAATTTACTAATTTTATTATTTATTAATATAAAATTAACAATGATAATTATTTTATATGTGAGAAGACAAAAATGTTTCATTAATCGTAGAAATTACTTTATAATAATTTAAGTAGTTTATACAAAAAAAATTTCAATTTAATTGTTTTACAATATTTTTATTTAATTTTACAGTTTAAGACGGTATTGTTTCATTTAAAAACACTCTAGTCTATATTAGCAAATATTATCAAATAATTAAAATATATTGTAAATATAGTTTTATATTATTTAGTATAAAAATAATAAATTTTACTCACACGACAATTTATTATTTTCTTCCCTTTAACAATCCATTACACTATTTTCTCTTTTGTATGAGTTTGAGTATATACTTTGGCAGTTTGTGGAGATTACTTAAAATTGGACGACCACAAGAGTTTTCTCCTTTTTTTTTCCCATCTATAATTCCATATTCCTAGTTATTTTGTCTTACCTCTTTATTTTTACTTTAAAATTTTATATATTGTGATGAATATAGTTAAATTATTATTTCTACATTTACTTATTTGTTTTAGATTTCACTTTATGCTAAAATCAACATTTTATTATATCATAACAATAGTAAAAAAATAAAAACAAAATAATGCTATAAAAATATGTCACTATAAGAGACTTTTAATATAATTATATAAATTTATTTATAATATGACGTTTATTCTTAAAATAAATTAAAATATTAGTGCAATATTCTTTCCATAAACTTTTAACCAAATTAAAAGTTTAATTTAAATAAATTAATAGATCTGTCCAAAAAATTAAAATACTTGTAAAAGAAAAAATATGGACGTAGTCATTCAATTATAAATTATCATAATATTTTTTAATGATTAATATAAATATTATATCTATAATGTATTTTAATTGGTTGATATTACTCAAATTAATTCTTTAAAAGTTTAATACGTGAATAAATTAGTTCTTAAAATAATTGTCACCGCAAATTAGTTTAGACACGAAGAAATATTTTTTCCCTTTAATTATCTCACAAATAAATTAATTCAAATATGAAAAATTGAATATAACATTTTTAACACTTTCTTTATAATTGTGGGAAATCTCATGCCAGCTATGCTAATATAAAATTATTTGCCGAATCAGCATAAGATTTACCGAATATTAAATAGTAATAATATTCCTCTTAAGATATATTTTAAAAATATTTGTTTTCTATTCAGTGGCTCATCACGCGAGAACCTACTAATCCTCTGTACCTTCTGCACAGTGCAAGAAACTTTTTTGTTTTTATTCTTTTTCTTTCAAATTATTTGTGTTGCCGATAAAAATAAGGACAGAGAATGTCGACATTCTCTCAATGTGTCATTTAATGGTGGGTGCCATTTTGAACAAAGTTTAAACAAAGTGTGCATGAATATGCATTTATATATATACCTATTTTTTGTATTCTTTCCTGTTTTTTATTTTATATTTTTAATCTTTTTTCAGTTATCATTTTATATTATCAATAAATTATACATTTTTTAATTTCATCTTCAAAATAAAGAATATAATAAAAGATTAGTTAATATTTTTTATAAAAATATAATATTGATTATATTTATTTAGTTTTTGCCTTGACAATTAGATAACATACAACGAAATATATAGGAGGAGTAATAGTGAAGTAAAAGTCCAACATTTTGAACTATTTTTAAGTAAAATATTTTGTGTATTGAAACAATTTTTATTCTGGTATAAATTTTAAAAAATTTATATTTAATTTAAATTTTTTATTTAATTTATTATTTTATTGGGTATAAATGTAATACTAATGTAAGAATTTCATAAGTTAAGTCATTATTTTTATGAGAATATATATATATATATATATATATATATGTATATTGTATGTATTAAAGTTATTTTTATAGGTAAAATTGTGAATATTCTCTTGTAACTTCTTCAAATAGGATATTTATTTGTATTTTTTTTTAAATGAAGCTTTTTGTTTTTCAATTACCAAATTAAAATTCCTTTTTTGAATTTCATATTTTCATCTTAGAACAACCCGTTAGTTTCTCCATTCGAATCGTAATACAAACAAACTTTAGATACAAAGCTTTTATATACCTATTCATAATTTCATCTTCATTCTCATACACCATATTACATATTACACATCTTTCATATTTATTTAACAAGAAAAATGTCTTTTTACAGATAAAAAAAAAAGACAAAAATAAATAAGAAACGTTCACAAGTATATATGAGATCGATTATGTAATTTTGTAACAATGAAACTGATACAACAATAATCATAAAATATTTACCAAACTGATACAACAAGGATTCTTGCTTCTCTTTAGTTTTTTGGTTTTTTGGTTTGAATTCTCTCTTTATTTAAAATACCGACAGCAGAATCGGAGCGAAAACGAAACAAGAGAAGTGGCAGGTTATATACTGTAGCATATGCTAACTCAACAGAGCAAAAGCAATTGGCAACGGAAAGTTAATAATTCTTTTCCCCCTTAAGACTAATTATTTATATTAATATACAAACAAATTGCGTGAACAACAAAGAAATCTCTGATTAATCAATCATTAATCACTGATGGTATTATGTTGAACCTCGAGCATCACCTTTTTTCTTGGAGAAAATGTTAATTAAAGGATGAAAAGTAGAAAGATGGCTCAAAAGCCATGCCAAGAATCAAATGCTATTAAATAAGTTAATTATGTGATGTACAATGACCCTTTTGGTGTTTAGAATTGTACATAGAATTGCTGAAAAAAGGAGTTAGTAGTGGCAGAACCACTATAGCAATAGGCTCTTTCCAGCCAAGCCACCTTGTGCACAATAAGTCAGGCCTCACTTCTAATAGTTTATTGAAAACTTCATCTCCAATATCAGTATCGACGCTCGGATTCATTTGTCATGTTGTGTACACAATTT